AATGCATTTTGGCCATTTGTAGAGTCAACTTGACCACCTAAGACAGATGGCTTTCTGTCATTGAAAACAGGAAAAAGATGATCAGACTGAAGGTAGTTCTTGGTCCTTTCACACCTGGGCAAGCCAAGGAATTCTTCAAACCCTGTGATGTTCTGTAACCTGCTTGGACTTCTAAAAAGAGTAGCACATAAGAGGTTTTTCCAGGGCTGAACTTGCCTTCCATTAACTTTCATAATTCCGGTAAGCTATAAACCCATTCCTGAAAGTAACAGCCCTGTAGGCCAGTTGAGGATGATATATCAACATATCATCTTTCATTGAAAGCCCTGACACCACTCTCAGAACTAATAAGTAGACCTAATAAGTAGACAAGGAAGATGTGTCTTATAAGTGATCCATTTCACTTCCTGGTGGTAGCCTCTGTCATTATTAAAGCATGCTATAGAACGAACAGAAGAGATACTCTAGAAATAAATCCACCCTTTTAGTGAAAACCTACAGAAATCATATGGAAAACATTCACTGTCAGGACGCAGCTCAAATAATTCTTGCTGTAACAATGATGAGAGCATCACTGATACCCTTTGACTGTGGACAAAGTGGTCTTAGTAAGATGCCCATTAGTTAAAACACATGCAAACCCAGGGTAGAATTAGTGATGGGGAGACCCTTTCTGCTGAAGACAGAAAACACAACAAAAGAAATAGGATGAGGCATTTAGTTGTCGCTCCCTTCCATACTCACACGGACAACTTCCTTTTGGAGTTTGTTTTGTTCAAAAATTATGATATTCTAGATTGAGAAAAGAGACACAGTTCATCCTTTACGACTTTGTGAAAAGTCCAGTGTGAATTAGCAACTCCTCTGATAATAGTTGAAGTCTACACTCTGATTAGATGAGAGGCCTACAGTGTGGTGTATACTCAGGAGGGAGGGAAATACAGAACACACCTCCGGACATTTGCAAATATTTAAGTAGCTCCATGGTTCATGACAAGAAAGCAATTTTATTTTTGACAGGATGCAAGAAGTGGTCTTTTAATGCTGATATAGTAAACCAGCTCAGCCATATTACTGACAAAAAATTTGAGGACAAAGCATTAGTTGACTAATTATTACCCTGCTGGTCAGAGATAAAGTCTACAATAAAATTTTACTTCTTTCAGTTCATTATTTTCCCCACCACTTTATGATGCTTTCCCTTAGTTATTAATGTAATGTCATCCATGCTAATGTATAGAAAGGTAGTCCTCTATATTAATTCGTATTTGAAGGAAGAGGCCTCTACACCACTTGAATCATTTAGCTTTGTGATCTGATTTCTTCAGGAAAGTTGACCATTACATGGGTATGGAGTCAAAATATTTAAAATTTAATCGTAGGTGAAATTTAATGCCACATGTACTATGTATTGGTCCTGTGCCTTAGAAACTTACATGGAAACATCCACGATAAATTTGAATAATCCTATTTTAAAAAGCCTTGTTGTCTATTAATTTTTTCACTTTATGATTTCCTGGTCTTTTAACTTGCAAGTGAGTATGAACACTCTCTTCGTTAAGTAGTTCTCTGGCAGTAAAATACATAGCACCTTTCAAAGAAACCAAATTATAGCTCTGATGATAATGGCATGAATTATTGCAATAGGTGAAGGGAAGCCTAATAGTTCCTTAAGGTTGCAATTGTTACAGATGCGGCAGGGATGACATAAATTGCCAAAAGCCAACTGTGTTTGCTTATGTGAATAGAACCACCACTCTTCAAAGATTAGGACCAGTGATAGGAGCAATTTGTCATGTGTAATCACCTGTTTTCTCAAGAGAGAAATACAGTACCTCCCCAACGACTGTTTCCCATTTGTCTGGATGATCTGGATGAGGGGCAGCAATGCTTTTTCCAAAGGCATCTGGCTCTTGCAATGCATTTATATCTGTTTCAAATGAAATCGGAGATGCTTTCCCTATCACTTCCTTGCCATGGGTGTGATGCATGGGAAGGGATATATAACCATAAAGTCAGACCACCTCTGGGGATTTTCAGAGCACCAGTGCTGACCAATCTGAATTATTGATCTTTATTCATGAAAAAAGTTCCCTAAGGGAAAGGATAGGGCTTTATAGCAGTCTGAACCGTAAGGGATGTTGATCTGGTGTTGATAAATAACGTGGAGTGGAGGGAAGCAATTCACAGAAAGTCCACTGTAAGTTCCATAGTTAGGCTTCATCCTTTATTAGGTAGTGAGGAAAAGACAACTGATGATTACAACTCCAGTTTAAGAGACCATTTAAACAAAAATGGTTCCATAGTGAAGTGAGGCAGAAGGGATTTAGGTATTTCTGAGTTTTCTCATATGGCTGATGGAGAAAATATGGCTGATTTGTTTGTTCCCAGCAAATCATTAAAGTTAGTAACACCTTGTGATCCAGGACTCTTTGCATCCCAAAGGCCCTGACTTCTAGTGGACTGGCTGATTCACTTTGGTGAAAATGGGGAAGAACAGCAAAAGCACGTCGTAGTGAGATTGCATCAATTAACATTAAGTTCTCCAACAGAAAGAGGTTTTATCAGGTGTAAAGGTTGTTGGGGAAGGATTCAGGCTAAGTTACAGTGAAAGATCAAACTATTTGACAAACCAGAACAAGGCAACTAAAGTTCAAATTCTTTAGAAGCTGGTCACACGGGATATAGACAGAGCCCCAAACAACAAACTCATGAGGACATTCCATCTGGCTGAACCAGTAGGGGGTGTGTGTGGAAAAAAAGGAAACACTTGCTAAGACCAGGGAGTAGAGGCGTTAGTAAACATTAATCACCGGATACTCTCAAAAACAAATTTTAATACTAACCAACATGTTTAACCAGAGATGTGTGGCTTGAAATTCTTTTTACCAAAGACCAATGAAATAACTTTTGTCTTTTGTCTAGCTTATCTACCTGCCATCTTCCCTTTTCTTCCTTCCTTCTATCCTTCCTTCCTTCCTTATTTTGTTGATTGTTTAACAAAAGATGTATAAAGCCAACTGTTTTAAAGATATGTTTATATGACAAATGTCTATAGCTAGATGGTGGAGAACTCCAAAGACCATGTTCAATGTTGAGCACCAAGCACGCTATGGGTGTTTCTCAAATATAAAATGACAAATGCTATATACCTATCTCTCAAATGGTTTCATCTGGAATCTTTGTACCTCTCAAAAAGGTTACTACAGTTTAGATAAGAGCAGTTTCAGGAAGGCCATACCCAGCCCTTCCCTATAGATTTAAATAGTCTTTACAAAACCTTTTCAAAAATATTTTTTTTCTCTAAACCTAAATCATGTAAGGTTGATTTGTACATGTTTTAACATTGTTCTAAGTTTGAGTGTCCTTATTCTTAATGCAACAGACTGGCTGCATCGAATCCCATCATAGTGATAGGTATACGTTAGCTTTCTATGGGAAAAAGCAAATAGCCTTTATCACAAATTAAAGGCACAGCTATTTTTATGCCATTTGTTACCAACTTAATGATAACATGTAACATGGGATGGTTATATAATTATTTTATATAGAATTTCTTTTTATAAGTTATTCTCTTAATCTTTCTAACATATATACAATATACATATATTTATATATACCCCTGATAAATCTTGTTTTAAAGGTAAAACATGAACTCCTTTCAGCCTTTTGGTGACTATCAAAGGCTGCCAGTATTTCGTAACTCCACTAGAGAAATCATGGTCAAGTGCATCTTACCAGAATTTTTTCAACACTATATCCTCGGTCTGCAATCACCTCAGATTCATTTTTCTTGTTTTACTAGCGTTTAAGTATATATTAATTGTTCATATCATGTCAGTAGGAAATCTAAAAAAGAAACAAGAAAAAGCCCACAATAGCTAACATCTACCATCATGTTCAAAGCAGAAACCTTTGCCTAAGAGGTAACCTTACTGGTATGATATAAAGGGGATATTGCAGGGATGCAATATTCTCTGTTTTTTGTGGGTTTTTTTTTTTTTTTTGGATATGTACTAACATGAAACATCTTTACTTTGCACAATCATCTTAGGTTATGATTATTTCTTATCCACTAAACAGAACAGTTGAACTGATTTCTTTCTAAACACCCACAATGCACGGGTTTACCTGTTTTCAGATATAGTTTCATTACAAAGCTTTCTTTCCCTCTTTCCAGCAACACTGCTTCAGTGGGAGGAAAAAGTACTTTGGAAGAAATGACCTTTATTAATACCTCCCCCACCTCTATGCTTAAGCCCTGCTCTCTTGTCTTCAACTTAAAGTCACCTACAAGCTGGACGGGGGGAGAGAATATGGACCAGGAAGACCTCCGCAGAACCCTCTGGTGTTTGTGTATCGTTTGGCTGCTTACCGGCATGAAATAGTTGTTCATTCTGCCTTTTGCAATTCTTTATAACCTAGTGGCATAGAGTGAGACACAGCACTATTGTTTACAAGACATCTACTGTATCTACTTTTGTTGGGATAAATACCCAGTAATTGCTGTCATAGCAAGAGGACCAGCACGGGTACTACTATTCACAGTGTTGCTTTTGTTTTTGTTTTTTTTTTTTCTTTTTTGTTTTGTTTTTTGTTTTCCTTTTTTCATATTATCTTAATCTACAGAGTAAATTATTATATATATACATTGGAACCAGTTAATGCCCTTACAATGTATAGCTGTTTCATAAAGCAGGAAAGACAATGCAGAGGGAAATAGGTGCTCAAAAGCACAGTCACAAAGGCTTCAGAAATTCTAGATACCACTACAAGTCAATGCTGGAGATCACTTCTAAAACAATCAGTGTTCAAGAGGAATGCTTTAATTTGGAGAAAATACCACCCCACCCCTCCCACCCCTAAGCCTCCCTCTTTTTTTTTTTTTTTTTAATAATCTTTTCGATTCACTATCAAAAGTCCTGGCTCTTCAGATAGACTTTAAACTATAAATAAACACTGCATAGTTCTCTTTTGTTTTTTTTTTTTTTTGTTGTTGTTGTTTTTTGTTTGTTTTTTGAAAAATTATTGCAGTACAAGTACTCCCATTTGGAACTCAGTAAGGAGCAAACAGCACAGGAGTGTGGGCGGTCCGAATAGGTCCGGGAGCTGGCCGCAGGAGTGCTGGCGGGAGGGCCGAGGTCTGGAACAGTGTGGCCGCTGGAGCAGTTCGGAGACTGAAGGGGGAGTTCACGGCCACTGCAGCAGCAGCGGCTGCTGCCGCCAGTGGGTTTGGTAGAATTCGTGGAGCCAATGGCTTTGAAGTTTCTTTTGAAAATACTAATTTTACCTGCAAGGGAGAGAGAGAGAGAAGAAAAAAAAAAAAGACAGAAGGACAGGAGTTTGGGCATCTACCCATAGAATCCAGAATGATGGGCAGCTTTTAAAATGTAGCAAGAAGCAACTACAAAGATAAAAATCACACTTGGGAAGGTCAATAAGAGTAACGGAAAGTGTAGAACATCTTTCCTTTGAAAGAGCTGGAAGAGCACTTGAAGATGGCCAGCTTAGACTGTTGGTCCAGAAAAGTACTCAGCAACCTTATTTTATTTTTCTTCATAAATATACCACCTGAGGAAAGTATTCATGTTGAGGAAGAAAGTGTGGAATTTTTACACCACTGTACACACACACATGAACTGTCACGGAATTGATATTTTAAAAGAGAGATTTATTAATGTTGACAGCGACTATTAGGCTATCCAAGTATATAAACTGGGGAGCCCAGCAAGGTGTGAGGTATTAATGAAGAGAAATAAAAATAACAAAATTTCACTTTCAAGGTGAAACTTGCCTCCCCCCAAACTTACCTCCCCCCAAAATGTGCCATTTTATGCTTCCTCTTTGTGCAAATGGTAACAATTCTCTCAATCCTACTCTACAAAACCAGTTCATTCTTTGGCTAGTAGCATTAGTAAGATGGCTGTTCTCACAGAATGTTCCCATTTATGGAAACAGTAACACAGTGAGAGCTAGGAAGGAGGTTTTGGATGGTGACATTAACACAATTTGACTTCCCTGTTTATTTAAGAACCATTCACTTGATTGTTGAAAGCTGCATCTATGCTGGTCAGAAATAGCACTCAAAGTTATGACTAGTGGTGCTGAAACATCAGCTCTGTGCAGAATTCACAGCCTTTCAATGCAGCTAAAATTGCTTCTGTACAAAAGAGTAGAGTGACTTCATTTGCATAAAAATGGGTGATGCTACTAAATTAATTGGGTCAACTCCTACTGAGGTCTCATAATAGATGATTGCAGTTTTCCTTTAACTATATTTTCATGTGCCAGCAGCACACAATAGCACCGATTATTAATAAGATCTATTTTGAAGAAAACAGATTTCAAAATGCACAATTCAGCACATGCTGTATAGATCAGTTGTTCTTAACTTTTCATTGAGCCCTGGGTCTCCCTGATGAAAGCTATGGTCAATTCAACCAGGAAAACAAAAACAAGAAACAACAACCGCCCCCCCCCACACACACGTGGTCATAAATATTAGCTTGAGATTGTCAGGTTTCACAGATTTCCCTTAAATTCCTAAAAAAAAAATCCAGGTCAGGACATTTATACTAGTATGTTCACTAATCTAAAGGTATATTGGGTGTAATGGAAAGAAGCATCTCCTAGGAAGAATTTCCCCAGGCCTCAGATATTATTCTTGGTGAAATAATTAAATAAAATCAGTCATGCCCTTGAGACCATGCTATTCAAAATCCAAAACTGTTGAGGGTATCAAAAACACCAGTGCTTTGTCCCTTGAAGATATTAAAAAAGAGAGGCGAGAACTTCTTTTTCACTGAACTTTCCTAAAATTATCCACTGACAGCAAGACCAGATATCATGATATCACTTACTTGACTCAAAAGTTTGGCTTTACTCCCTTCCCCATGCTCTGTCATTAACCAGAGCCCAACTCCAAAAGATACAGCTACCAGACTGTGGCTAAACGTGGCAAACCACCCACACAACTCACAAAACCTATAATTCTATTGTTGGAGTGTGGGTTGGGACTTTCCAATCAACTGTTCCTCATGACTAAGGTACCTTCCATTTATTTCACTTAATAATTGACAACAACAACAAAAAAAATCAAGTTCATCAGACAGTGGGACATTCAAGATCACTGTTGATTGGGAATCAATGATGACACTTACCCCCAGAGGATGTGCTGCCTTCTGTAGTTTGTTGTAAGGACTGTATTTAGGTTTCGGGGGCTTCCCAGCAGCTCTGTCTTTGTGCCTTCTACTGCTAATGTGCTATTAAAAACAATTAAAAATGACAGTGTTTTAAAAAAAACATCCCCACCCCCCCCCCCTCAAAAATACTGTTTTAACCTGAGGAAGAAGATTAGTTATTTCATACAAGTTGCAGAGACAAAAACAAAAGAGCATGCACTTTTGTCCTTGGGTTCTGATGGCTTGAGGATATATATTTTTATGTTACCTCTTTTAGTATATTTTTAACAAATAGAAGGCTCTTCATTTTCCCAGCCTTTCTCTTTATCGCTGCGCAGATCTCCTTTTTAAAAGTGTACAAAGGAAAGGAATATCTAAAGGAATTTTATGTGCAAATAAACAAAGATGCCCAGGCAGGCATGAATTTATTTCCATACTAATATTTACCCTCACATTTGTACAGCCAAATGTCAGCCCCTTAAATTCTAAAGATAAATAACGAAGGTGCATAAAATGAGCACAATACTGCACACATGCATATAAAATAAAGCACAATATGAGGGCTGGGCCTTTAGTTGGCAATGTCTAACTGATCTCTTTGGAGGGCTATTCACAGTAAAAGTGAATGCAATAGGATTAGTCATCCCTTTAGCAGGTGGCTGCAGGATTTAGCAATACAGTACAACACCATGTAATAAAGTACATAAAATAAAAGAATAGAACAGTATAAAATTAGTTGTAACGTGTAAATATCTAAACAAGTAAAAATGGAACATTGCAATTTGACCTTTCAAGAAAATCAACACTTTTGAGTGGGAAACCTGGCAGAGAAAAGATCTAATACTCCTTTTCCTCCCACTCTTCAGAAAAAAGAATAGTACAAACTCACTTCAGACATTTTCTCAAAGGATTTAGAAAATATTACATTTTATTATTTCCTTGGCAACTAAACTAGGCATAAATAAATAAAGGCAGTGAGTAGAAGATAAGTGGATGGATGGATGGATGGATGGATGGACGGGAGGGAGAGGAAAACAGGAAAGAAAGGGAACAAAGGAAGCACACACATTTGCTTATCAGGATGTCCCCTATCTGTTTTCATTTCTAGAATATGCGCTGTCTACCTGTTTAAGTTGTGTTTCCGAGTTGACGTGCACATCACAGATTTCACAGTGAAACGTTTTGTTTTGCAGACCTGTGTTTCCCTTATTAACTGGTCCTTTGCCTTTCACGCCTGCCCTAGGAAAGGCTTTGATAGTTCCGCTTCCGTTCCGAGCTTCTAGCATGGTTTTGTGCTTAGTACCTGCCCGGAAGATTCAGAAAAAAAGAAAGAAAAATTAATCTTAGCTAGTATGTGCCTTTAGGAAATGATACAGTAACAAAATGTGATGCCTAGTTTTAGAGCAGTTCTTGCTGGGATTATGACTGAGATATGCTTAACTTAGAAGACAATGAGCTCTGACCACCTTACATAATTAATTGCTCATGTTTTTACAATGTCCCACATATCAAACCAGCATCATTAACAGAACACCTACACTCCAGAGTCCCTAGATGAAATTAAATGGGTGTGACTTTGTTGCACTTCCTCTCGATGCTAATAAGACATAAATGATAGCAGATGAGGAAGAGTGATTTAGTTGCTCAAGGTATAGTTGGAGGTGATGTGTAACAAATGTAATCAGCTTAAACATGGTGTGTTTACAGAAGTGGCACTAATTAAAGACCCACTTTCTAAACAGAATACAAGCAAGCTTTCTTGGCTATGTGTTTTAGGTTCAAAAAGGAAGAGGAAGAGTATAAAGATCTTGATGGCTGAAAAAAAAAAACACAAAACAGCCCCATTAGGATAGTAAAGCCCAAACTGATTGGTCATAACTCAATTTCAAATGTAAAAACAAAAGAAGATAAGCGGTGAAAGGCTAAGAAGTTACACTATACACAAAAGTTTCTTTTTAATAAACTGATAAACATCTCTGGACTCTCACTCATGCCGAGTGTAACTTCCATTATTAACACTTGTTTGTTTTTTTGTTTTTTTTTGTTTTTGTTTTTGTTTTTTTTAGCCTGGTAGTTTATGAATGGGAGCTTCTCTCAAAATTTTGTTCACAATTTTCTTTTTCTTTGTGTTGATAACTATTCTTTATTTTTATCACTTAGCCATATGGTTTTGCTATGAAATTTTCTCTCATCATCATTTATGTCCTTTCTGCCATTAAACCCTTTTTTTTCCAGTGGTTTCTCTTTCCTACTTGTGTTTATTAGATTGTTATCAGTTCTAGAGGCATAAAAAATAAGATTGTCAATTTTCTGGATTCCTGGACCAGCCTTCCAGAACCATTACTATCAACGAGGAAAACACATTGAGGGGCACACTAGGTCAGTGCCAATGACCATCGCCTTAAATAAGAGGTGATGAATACAAGAAACAGGTTCACAGTCACGTTTCTCTCTTTTAGAATGATTGCAACTTGACCAAATCCGATATTAAAAAAGGTATATTCTTACAACATAGATTCCCCACGTTGAAGGTCGTATTCTTATGCACATCTATGAAAATGTTCATATCCCAACATATGAAGGAAAGAGAAAAAGGTCGACACCTTGTAAGTAGACTGGAGGACTTGAAATGTGGAGCTGGTGGGGAGGCCTCTCTGCTTTTCCCTTTAAGTTTGCAAGCCCCCTCCACCTGCCCTTTGCAAAATAGACACAAATACATTTTACTCTGCAGACGGTGTAAGTCAGTGTATGGCGAAACAATGCTCTAGGGGGCAAGATCTATATACAAATATATATATATATATATATATTTGTATATATGTATATATATATATTTGTGTGTGTATATATATATTTGTGTATATATATATTTGTATATAGATATATATACATATATATATTTGTGTATATATATATTTGCATATAGATATATATACATATATATAGTATATTGTATATAGATATATATATAAAATATATATATATTTGTATATAGATCTTGCCCCCTAGAGCATTGTTTCGCCGTACACTGACTTACACCGTCTGCAGAGTAAAATGTATATATACATTTTATATATATATTTTTTCCTTTGTCTCACTGTGTGTGTGTGTGTGTGTGTGTGTGTGTGTGTCTAGATGGTTGTCCAACCTTTTTTATCCAAACAGGTAATTTTATCAAAATACTTCTTTTCCATACAGCTTCTTCAGTCAAAGTGAGAAGCATTCCTGGGCTGGTTTGGCTTATCAATGCTTAGGAAGCAGTCAGTAGGAGAGCGGCTCTTATTCTGACTGGAGGGACTCCTGACCCACGCAATATCTTCTGTAATTGGGAGGCTTACCGTTACCCTGGAAGAAGCTGAATAGGAGTGGCAGATAATCTTTGGACCTTAATAATAATAAGGCCATGAACACTGACCACAGCTGACTGGCTTAAATGAATTTCTCACTTGAAACGTGAAACGGATGTCTTGATGAAACAAGTCTTTACCTAATTCTCTTCCTGAACACAGAAGCACGAATTAGACATGGGCTTCTTGAAGGCAACTCCAGGGGTTTGCTCATCCTGTATTCTTAGTGCCTCACCCACAGGAGATACAGCTCAAGTATTGGGTATGAATAAAGAGCAATGAACACGTATTTGTCAAGAGCATTGTGGACTCCGACTCTGGCATGGTAGGAGCAGGGTTTGCCTCCATTAGCTGTGTGGTTTACATTTCTTTGTGCTTCAGTGTCCTCAGCTGTGGAAGAGGAAATTATTTGCTCTACTGAAGTGTTACATGAAATGCATTTATTGTTCTAAGGATTACTTTTGGCACTTCCATGAGCTCTCAGTAAATTTTAGTTCTCTTCTCCTTCTTAACAGTGTCAGTTTTGTTTAAGCAAAAATTTAGAAATCTCTAAAAGTCAGTAAAGTCTATCCTTTGATAAGTGCCTTTTCTGTATATTAAAACTTAGTGAGGGATAGAATAAGCCCTGTCTAGGGATAGAAAAGCTCAAACGAGACTAATGAAAATTATCAAATATTACCACTTCAAGTTATTGCCAGAAAAACTTACCCAAATTCGTAATAAGCACTAACTATAAAACATTTTAAAGGTTTTAATTACGTAGAGAAAACCATCAAAATCAGCTAAGCAAAGCATTACTTAGTAGAATGTTTTGGGGAGATTTCTTTCAAGAAAAAGACAATTTTTTTTTTTTTGTATTATCTGTGTCTATAACATACAACTAAAAGGAGACTTCCAGATCTTTTGAAAAGAGTATGTCCTCTTAAGTTATTTAACATTCTTAGACTGTTTTGTGAATCATGCTAGTAAGCTATGATATCTACTTCTCTCAAATTCTTAAAAAAAAATGCAAAGCAGGAATGCTCATATTTAAATCCTGCATTCCAATGTTATGGAATATAAATCCATTAACTGCAAATTCAGTGAAAAATAAAAGAGAAAGCAAATGAAATAACACAGCCGATCCCCAAATAATGCTAGCAGCAACTGTGGTCACACTAATAATCGTGCCATAATAATTCATCCTTACAAGGTGCCATAGGGCTTCTTAGCACCATTAAAGAGAGAGGGAGAGAGGTCCAAAGAGAACAGTCGACTTGCCCAGGTTCACACCGAATTGTTATTTGTGGATCTGAGGTAAAAATGGTCTGATCGCTTCTAGCTCATTCCATTGTGACATACAAGAGGTTGTGTGCGATGGAAGCTATAATCTCAAAATTGGTTTACGATTAAAAAGAAAAACCGTAAATGTATAACTCTACATTGAGAGCTAAAGACCTTATTCCATGCATATGGAAGGGGAAAAAAGGGGAGAGAAATACTTAGAATTACAATTTAGATGCAAAGGACACATCTCCCCACCCTACAGTCTGGTTGTTTCTGAACAAAATTGGTCTTCAAACCGAGTTCCCTGAAAAAAGCACAATCTTCACAGTGGTTTCCTAATATCTAGCTCTGAAAGCAAGCAGAGAACTGTTAATGATACAGGGGAGGTTGGGGGGTGAGTGTGGGGGCAGTGGAGCCCACAGGCAGTGACTGTGGTCTGCTGTGGGGACAGGTAATATAGGGATCCATGAAAGAGAACAAGAAAATAATTAAATGGACTAAAACAGACAGTCTACTTTCCACCTTCACCATGAACTGGCAACTCTAACCCACGTCCATGATAAAGGACTGTGTCCTAGAACACAATTTGTCTATATCCTAAACAAGCAGTGTTTTTCCTGTTGAGATTTTAGCATATATTAAATTACCCCATTGTCTAACTTACCCTATACTAAACATCATATGTTACATGGAAATAAATGGGTAGACCTCTCCATTACACCGTGGGCCACAGACACACAGGAATTTGGCTACAGTCTCCTGTTTCATTAGCGATTCCCTGTTTGAAATCATTCAAGCTCACAAGGGCTGCAGTTCATGCCTTTGGCCCTGGTGGTACTCTATATTTTTAATGTAAACAATAGATCATAAGTGAACAATGAGATGATAACACCTTGATTAAAAAGATGAAGTGACAGAATTTGAGCTAACTCCATTCTGTCATTTTATGTGACCACTGGACATTTTTATGTTTAAAACAGTGAAAAGCAGTGGGAGCCCTGTGGTGTCACGGCTTTGTTCGGCAAGTCCAGTTGCCCACGTTGGTAACTGCCTAGTGATGCACAGGTCGCTGGCCGCTTCCCTTTCCTGTTCCCCCTTCCCACTTCCTGACCCATGCCCTTGGCCTTGCCTAAAAGCCATTTGCTCTCAAATCCTGGTCTCAGAGTCTGCTTCTAATGGAACCCAAACTAAAACACGCCACACTAATTTTTGGATGACTCATACAGCAGCTACTCTTCGTGGCAGGCGAGTGAGCCTACAGAGATCCCCTCTCCTTTACATCCCCCTCCCCTGGGTTTCCCCACATGGGATCCTAAGGCAAAGATGCAGGAACCAGGGCACGAGGGGCAGTTGTCTGACTGTGGAAATGACGGCATTCACCATCCACAGGTAGAGGACGTCCCAGACACAATGAGCTGCCCTCCGCTGCTTCAGTTACAAAAGAGAGCTGATTTGCAGATCAAAAATGGTGCACAGAGGAGATTAAAGAGAATCTACGTGTGTATCTTCTCTTCTTCCTTGGCCACCTCCAGTTCTGGCCCAACTGGCTAGTGCAAGTCTCGTGGGAGGCCGAAAATAAGCACCAGGCCTGGACCCTGGAAAAAAATCTCTGATGTAGGAAGGGAAATGCAGGGATAAAGAAACCAAGCTTAGGCAGAAGGGGGGAAGGTTATAGTTCACTGATTGGACTGAAGGTTTGGAGGGGACAGCCCTATAAAGGGATTCCTATAAGGTTACACGCATTTACCACCTTAAACTCTCAGATAAGATGGTTCCAGTAGTTCTCAGCTCTGCCTGCGCAACATTGTGAGGTTTTTTGTTTTTGCTTCTTTTCTTTTCCCAAACACTGTCACTTCCAGGCCTGGATATATAATAAATCAGAATCCCTGGATATAGGGAATCGTATATATCTGAAAGTGATATGGGTGAATGGGCTTTTAAAGCTTTATGGGTATTTCCCACACACAAAGCAGAGATAAGGATTATAGAATTGGAGTATGAAAAATGTTGACCTGATATGACATAATGAAATAATGAAGAATTCTTTGCTTCTTAATCAGATGTTTCTGATAAGAATTCAGGAGGGACATCCAAATTCTTGATAAATTAACTCCAGCCTCAAAGGTATGGTTTGTTTATCTGTCAAAGCGGAGCGCCCCCCTCAAAATGAATGTGTTTCTCTGTCACTATGCAGAATGATCAAGAATTCTTGAGAAATAAATGGACTTTCAATGATGTTTTTGCTCTCCAATTATCTGGCATCCCTGAATAATGTAATTGCATGAGTAAAACATGAGGCACGTCTGCACGGTATAGATTCTGACTTGGGGCCAGATCTTTTTCTGTGTTTCTCAGCCTCTGAACTCATGAACTCCCAGACGACAGCTAATGTTGCATGCAGGGGGAAAGAGATGTGTTGAAGGAATTGCTCTCCATCTGCAATTACTCCCATAGAATACTGAAGTAAATACTTGAGCATTATCGTGCAGCACAGTGATTGGCCAGTGACAGACAACATAAAGCTGCAATATTAACCCAGGGTATGATTTACAAATGATTCTGTTCCTATTGTGATTGCTGACATGGTCCTGGCAATGAACCCAGCCTTTTAGAGGCAATCTAATCTAGGGCCAAAGGGCTGTCTAAAATCTCGGGCAGGATATATATCAGTTATCTGTATCTATATATCTATACATAATTTAATTATAGATAGAAATATATAATTTAGATATATAGATATAAATATATAGATCTGGGATCTCTTTTTGCATCGACTTATCCAGATAGATAGGTATAGGTATAGATATATAATACCTATATAATATCTTTCTATAGATGTAGATATACAATAGATGTATTGGGAAGTATATTGGGAAGTATAATAATAAAAGTATATTGGGAAGCATTTCATCCTGGCTTATTAGTATGTTCTATTATGATATATTCAAGTTTAGTGTTTAAGTTAGAAAGACCTAAGTTGAAATCATGGCTCAGCCACTTAGTTGGTCATGTGCCTGGCCTGAGCCTCAATCAAATAGCAAGAATAGTATCTTTAGGTTGTCACAAAGAGTAAATAAAATATTACATGTAGAGAACACACCTCAGTGGTTGCCCATAATAAACACTTTACATTTAATTGTCCGGGTGATATAGATCTATGCCAAACAGCGTCATTTGCCATAAAAACCATTATGGAGAGGTTTTAGCTAAAAGCACATAGAGTTTTGGAACCAAATTTTGCAGCTATATTATTGACAAAACTTTAGAAAACGTCATTTAGAAGCCAATGCGTGGGAGTACATAGCAGTTTTAAAATCAAATAAATGCAAAGCTTATACTTTAGAATTACATTGTATTTTATCTCCTAATGTTTAATAACACACGTGCACACACACACACACACACACACACATCCGTAAACACAAGCACATTAAAGAGCACCTCGAGTCCTCTCTTGTGCCCATGCAAATGACACTTTGCGTGTCATTTTTAATTTTTAATGGTTGATGACTTCCATGTAATAATTGCCAGTTTTCCACCACCCCTTTGTCCCCTGCTGCAAACGATCTAATCCATTCAGAGGAGGATAATTGCAGAGCTGTTGAGACAGAAGAGAAATCACTGCATCTCACCACTGTTGTGTGCCTCCAGCTGCGAGGCAGAGTTGACGGCAACCTTGCAGAGTGAGCAGTAAAGAAGCCGTTTTGCCTTTTCTTCCTCAGTCTCCGTGGAAGGACATGAGCTATTGCCACTGGCTGTCGTGGGGCTTTTTTCCACTTTGGAGGTGATCTCAGTTGTCATAACACTGCTTTTGCGAATTTCCACAGTTGTCGTTGAAACTGCTGGTGTCCCTGCGGTACTGTCTGCATTCAAAATAACACAGGAAAGAAGGGGAAAACAGCGGTATTATCTTTCCCTATTTGGAAATGTATCACTAATATTACATTCTGCTAATAATGATAAGAGCAGCCCGCAATTGCTACCTCTCGACTATGAGTCAATCATCTCATGAAGAAATTTGCATAGATGGCCACGTGTAGTTGCCTATATTGATAAAAAAAACATGCAGAAGATTCTGAAAAATACACCCAAATACACTTACAATTTTTTTTTTTCCTGTGGGGCAAATAAACATGCTCACAGATTTCTCTTGTTAACATATGGCCTAACATAAAATAGTCTTTACAATGCCTTGTACGTTGTATGCCTCTATTTCTACACAGATAGCTTTTTAAAAAATAGAGGAAAAACACTTTTAAGATATTTTTATTTTTCTTTATTACTCGTATTTCTATTTTCCTTCTACATTTATTTCTTTAATTAAAATATAAGTACTGATCATTTTCTATAGGCTTGGGCAAAGAAAGAAAAAAAAATGGAACCTGATAACATAAGGGTTTGTTCAGATCAATGATTTAGAAAATCATTGTCCTATTTACAAAGAGTTGTATATTCAATGCCGGGTACAAAAACTCTGGTCTGGCATATTTATTAAATGCATGCTCTGTACCGGGCTGTGTTCAGAGAGTTTGTTATGTAGTTTTCAAACATCAATGGCCACTCTAAAAGAAATTCACAGACTGGTCGCCCCGTGTTAATGTCACATCATCGTTCTAAGAGTCTGATGACCACGGAAGTGTTGATGTACTGGAACGCTACAATCCTTCTGGCTCCAAAGTCTGATTCTAAATCTGGAGAGGTCAAGCTCTAAAGCAAAAGTCCTTTATCCTGACTTCACTTGGGCATACACAGCTCCCATTCTGAAGATGACAATTACCGATTACCATTAGCAATGTTTGCCATATCCAACAACAAATTGCAAAGGATCTCTAATGCTCCTAACCTTCCTACCTTTCTACTATTTACTTTGTGTCTCCCAGCTGGCTGGTTCTTAACCTCCTATTCAAAATATTCCCAGGCGGTCTCTCTAGCTACACCTGCTCTTGGAAATGTTTTTCATTCCAGATGCTGCCATCGTCATTAATGCCACAGTGAAAAGTTCATAATAAATGAATTAGGCAGTGGTTATAAGGGACAGTGGTCTGCCTGCAATGAAATGTTGTCCTCATAAATGCTTATTCTTATTAGATCACATTATCAAGAGTTGATTGCAGTTATAGGATCCCCTTTAACTTTGATATCTCCTTTGATCCAGATATAAAGGTGGGAGTTTAGGTGAGATTGGTTATAGCTTCTTTCCCAAATATGGCATCAGAAACACTAGTCAATAAGAAGAAAAATGGGCTCTTGTTGAGGACTGTTGTATAAAACAATTCATCTGGATCTTATTTCCTTTGCCTGACATTTCATACATGTTTAATCACTTATTTAACTACTAAGATCATCAAGTAAGCCTCCTTTAGTGTTTTGAACAATATCCTCCAACCATGTAAAAAGAGTCTGCTCATCAGCTTTTCATGGCTAGAGAAAAATAAATAAAATTACTCTAATCCCAAGTTTTGCACCAGAATACATTTATTCTCTCAACATTGACAGGTCCATTTCCCGATTAATTTTTACTTGTCTCTTGAGGTGCCGATGTAAAATTATCAGGTAATAGCTAGAAAATATTTCTGAAAACTTAGATGGGGCATCAAATGCAATGACTACGATAGTCTAGTACCTATCCATTGCTCCCAATAAACCAGAAATGATTGAAAGCATAGGCCTGTGTGTCTATGAATAAATAACAAGTGTCCAATTAATTTGCTAAGTGTTTTATAATTAAAATTTCATTTAACCTTCACACAAACTGTACAAATGAGGAAATTCCAGAAATTAAGGACATTTCCAAGGTCATAGAAATAGAATAGAATATGGTGACTTAGGGCGAAGTGTTTTATAGCTTGAAAACATCAGGGATTAAAAAAAAATATTGTGGATGATACTCTTGGCCATGACTGTGACACATAATAAGGTTACTAAGTAAGGTGACAAACAGAAGTAGGCTAAAACTACTAAACTGGTCTTCTAATCAGCTCCATGGGGAGTGACAACCGTAAATATAGATATATATTTTAACTTAGTGTGGCTACATGCTGGAGCCAGTGTGATACTCTAGGTATTTATCTCATTTTTAAATCCAAGGAAGGATATCCCTAGTAATACCCAACTTCTAAAACTTCTCCTCTGGATTGACTATATTTATTTTATGTCTTGATCTGAAAATTGTGTGTAGCATAGATCATGGTAATCCTAAACCAACTTCCCTGCTTATAGTGAAATTCATAAGAAAAGTATAGAATAAACAAAACCTTAGATCTTCTAATCCCTGTAACAGCTACATCAGTATTTTTTTCTAACCTCTGAGGATAATGTACATTTAGACCAAGGATGCCACAAGATTAGAAATGCCAGATTCTCTATGCCTAGGGCTTAGTGAAGTATTAACATTTCTCAAGGCAAGTCCCCTGCATGAGACAGTTTTAGGTGAATTAGTATCAAAAAGCCTAACTTCTGGTCTTTCTGCTTTTTGACCTCATAGCTGAGCACAAATCTGTTATTTTCTTTTGCAGTTAATTTGAAAGAAATACAAACAGTTATATTTTTCACTTTAAATTTAATATATAAATCTTGTATCCATAGGTAGGATTACTACTAATTTATAACAGGACATGGATTTTTCAGTTCCTTTTCATTTATCAGTGGTGAGGGAACTTTTTCATGGAAAAAGTAAGGTAAGTGTATTTTAAGATTATACTGTATTTAAAGAGAATCAACTATGTTAGACATTGCCTAGAAAACTACATCTAGTCAAGAAATTTTTCTTAATATGGTACATTAAATTACCAATTATACATAATTCTTTATCCAACCAGAAAAACAGAATCTTCAGTGGGTGTTTATGTTAATAACATATACCTTTGACAAGATGTGAGATGAATTACTTTTATACTTCCTCCCCCAAACTCACAACCCCTGTCCAACCATGGGGAAAACATTCAACAAACCTAAATTTAAAGACATTTTATGAAATTCCTGACTGATAGTCCCCAAAACTGTTAAGGTCATCAAAACAAGGGACATCTGAGAAACTGTCAAATCTAGATGAGTCTAAGGAGACATGATGTGATGACTTTATGTAATGTGGTAGCCAGGTTAGGATTCTGGAGCAAAGAAAAGGGCGGGGAGCATTAGGTGAAAACTTAGGAGATGTGAATGAAACATGGACTTTAGTTAATAATAATGTATCACTATTGGTTCATTAGTTCTGACAAATGCACTATGACACTGTGCGATGTTAACAGTAAGGGAAAACTGGATGCAGGTTGCACAGGTGCCCTCTGTAATATTTTTGCATCTTTTCTGTAAATCTAAGACTATTCTAAAAAGAAAAGTTCATTACATTTAAGAAAAACAGAACTATAACCAGTCAACAAATAGTACATCGTGTCAGTTACCTGGTAGAATCACGATCAAAAGAAATCTTAGTGGTTTCTTGGCATAGCTTTCTTAGGTTTCAGATTACAATTTTTCCGTCACATAGTGCTCTAGGGTAGAAACTGGGACTTGACATTGCAACTCCTAATCCTAAATTAAGTGCTTATTATCCTGTGCTGCAATGAGTCACGGATTCATACTTGATTCCACCAACATTTATTAAGCAGCTGTTTTGTGCAAGGTTCTATATATATTAAACCACTGAGGATGAGAAGGCTGATAAATATCCATCACGGTTTATGAGACATCTCATGATGACTTGATGATAGTAAAGTTAAATCTTTAATCAGGTTTATGCATTGCTAAATTCTTGCACTTACACTTGGCATGAGAAAAACACTCAAATATTTATTAAAAGAAAACAATGAATGAATGAATAACAATTACAGCTAATGATTATTGAATCACTTTTGAAACATTTACAGGTATGAATTCATTCAATTCTCATAGAAACCTAAGAGGGGAACACCATTTTTATCCCCATCTTGAGAAGAAATGGAGGGATGGAGAGATTTGGGAACTTGCCCAAAGCCAGAGCCGCCAGGTGGAGCACAAGGGTTTGAACTTAGACAGTCTGGCTCAGAAGCATATGCTCTTCATTTATTTTTTATTGTTAAAAATTTGATTTTTTAAAATAAAAGAACTGTATACATTCTCTTCATCTAATTCATTTTTTTGCCTCTTCAGCTAATTCAAATTGGTCATGATTTATTATGCACGTTTGAAGATAGCATCTTAAAAATTTGACTTTAAAAGAAACTAAACATAGCCTGAGCTAGAGTCAATCATGTACATCCAATCATCCATTTATGCTGAGTATTATGTTACTGGAATCATTTTGGGAGGTGGAGAGAAAAGAAAAATCAACAGCTCTCAAATAACCTCTTGTGCAAAATGGTAAAAGTAAACTACAGGTCTTGTCTTTTCTTCCCTTCCTCTCTTTCTTTCTCCCTTCCTTCCTTCCTTCCTTCCCCTCCCTTCCCTTCTTTCTCTTTCCTTTCCTTCCCTTCCCTTTCCTTTCCTTCCCTTTCCTATTTCCTTCTTTCCTTCCCAAAAGATGGGAAATTGGAATAATGATTTACTTTTTCTAATGTTCCCCAAAGGTTGACTCAGATTTCTTTGCATTCTACAACCAGTGACCCTCTAAGAATTATATATGTCACAAGTCAAAAATAATGGATGCTATTCAGTGGGAAGAAAAAAGTTTGAGATGGTTTGGGTCTGTATTTCCGTGCAGTTTTTCTGCTAGTATCCTGTAGCAAATATTCATCATTACAACTGTCCGTATTTGGCTTTGGCATCAAAACAGATTGCTAATACTTTGTGGGATGGGGTTTTAGTTGAGAACAAGAGAAAAGTTTTCAGTATTTAGAGCGACCCATTTGTGGCCCTCATCCTTGTGCAAAAACACAGCAAATATTTT